GTGGGTAGCTACAATTCAATGCTCATATGGAAAAGGCGGGGACTGTTCTCTTCTGGTGGCCTACACGGTTTCTTGAGAGATGGCGGGAGGAAGAGGAGAGACAGGATCCTCTGCCCCTCCTCTATGAGTGCATGCACTTGAGTGCAAGTTCTCATCACTTACGGCAACAGGCAAGTGGGCAAAAGGAAAGACCGCCCTTAATGATGGAGCCGGGGCAGCTCACGTGCCCATCTTCCCTCGCCCAGCCCCAACCCCTCCCTTACTACCCTAATATGCACACGCAATACCTTGGGGGCAGGGCTGCCAGATCCAGTGGAGCGTCGGGTGCGGTTGCAGGACAAAGCTCTTTGACCTGTTGGTTTGCTCCCTGGGCTGTGATGCGGCAACCTCCTTCCAGAAGACGGAGTAGACAGGCCTGGTTCCTGGAGAAGAAAGGAAAAGGCCCATTGGCCCCCAGTTGCATAAAACAGTGTTTCTCAACCTTGACAACTTTGAGTTGTTGGGCCTCCACCCCCCAGAATCCCCCAGCAGGCATGGCTGGCTGGGGAATTCTGGGAGTTGAGGTCCACACAGCTCAAAGTTGCCATAAGGTTGAGAAACACTGGCATGAGAAGTTGGTGAAAGAGCATCAACCTCTGGCTACGAGGCCCAAGCACCCAACTCATCTTCTGGCTGGGGCACCCCACCTACAGAGAGCTCACAAGGCCTGAGCAGTCACACGGTCCACTGACAGACTGCCTTGCTCTACAACCCCAAGTTTGCTGGCTTCACAGAACCAAGACTAGCCAGGCTGGTTGGAGGAAAGGAAATCTTCTAGACCACTTTTCACCAGCAGGTATGTTATGGTAGAACCGCCAGCTTGCCGATCTTCAAGACTCAGCTTATGCAATCCCTTTCTGTATACTAAGTGATCAAAAGTGTATGATCAACAGGAAAATACCGGAACAAACTCCTGAAAATAGTCAGCTGGGAATTCTGAGAGCTGAATCACACGTCAGGGAAGGCACCCGGTTGGGGATGGATACTTCACATTGGTTCAGTGAACTTTGGAGACCCTCCCAGTTAAGATGACACACTACCAGGACCCTGGTGCTGCTTGGTCTGCCTAAGGCCGCTTACGATGTCTGTGGCTTTCGAGGCCGTGTTTCAGCTGGGCAGGACATTTGGAAGAGCAGCACTGTCCACCAATCTAAGCAGCAGATGCACGAGACCCAAAGGAACCAGAGGGGGACATGGTCCTTCTGAGCATTCAATTAATGGGTCTGATGCCCTGCAGGGTGGGGAGGTGTGATGGAACGCAACAGAGCACCAGATTCTCAGGAAGGAGGGAGCACATTCCAGAAGCGGGAGGGGGAGAGACAAGAGGCACCACAGTCCGGAGCAGGAGCGTGGGAAGAGGAGGAGATTTAGGATAGCCACTCCCTAGAATCTCCCAGGGTATATCCACTAAGTTAGAGTAGGACAGATTTAGTCTGGCAAGTTTCTGTCTATCTGGTGTAAGCAATAAAAGAACTGAACTTGGCTGGACCGTTCCCCTTGGCCTGAGCTTGACAGAAGGCTGTCTTTTGATCAGGCGGCTTTTTCTTCCTCTGCTCTGATACCCACCTTGGCATCTTTCCCAGAATCCCTTGGGCTCGGTGTGCTGACGGAAGTGCCGCTGCTGCTTAAGCGCTTGCTGGCCCGGGTCCTTGGAAGCCCCGGCTGCTCTTCTAGCCCAGGGTTGGGAGCAGGAGCCCTCCTCGCCCGCTTTGCTGGCTCCCTGGCCACAGGGCTGCCAGACGCAGCTGTTGCTCCTTCAGTAACCTTGCTGGCCGCCCTGGATTCCCTCTGCGAGCCCCTAGTGCGGCCTTGATGGACAGGAGCAGTGGTCAGGTCTCCATTCCTGGGCTTCTTCCTGGGCCCCTCTTCTCCAGGCGGTTCTGGCCTCTCCTTCACCTCTCCCTTTTGCTGACCGGCATTGCTAAGCTGCCGCAGGCCCCTCCGCCTGGTCTCTGGGGCAGCCGGTTTGCTGGACGCAGCGATGGCCCCAGATCCGTGATGGCGGAGGCTTCGTCTTTCTGGGCCAGGGGTGGACGAAGCAGAAGAGGTTGAAGATCGCAAACTGCGCCGCTGCCCACGGACAGAGGACACTGTGGAAGCGGGTTCCTCCTGGGCTGGCTCCAACACCTAGAAGTATCAAATGGGATTGTGCCAAGCCATGATTCAGTTAACCAGGGTTTATTTTTTTATTATTAAATGTTATAATTGATTAAAATAATAACAAACAAGGAAAATGAAAAAAAACCCACAAAAATAATTATAATGCACACATTCTCAAAAAAAAAAAAAAGAAACAACACATAAAGAGCACTTTGAAAAAAGGGTGAGAAAAGAAAGAAAAATGAAGTATAGTATATCAGCTAAACAGGGTATGTTGAACAAACCACAATTTGCTGAGTTCTGATATCAAGCTTACAAATCATGGTTGTCCTGTTCTACCCCATGAGATAAGGAAAACTTGAGGGGTAGCTTCACCAAATCAGGAGTAGAGTCCTTGATTCATGAAGGATGCAGGAGGAATCTGATGCTCACCTGCTTAGCCTTCCTTGTTTCTCTCACCACCACCGAGTTTTCTTCCACCTTGGTGTCCACAGGAGCTAGAAAAAGCCAAAGGACCAAACAGCCTGTGCTGAAAAACACCATTCCAGTTTCTGCCACCAAGAGGCAGAGCAGAGCTACGGAATTACAAGAACACAAGCCCGTTTCCCCTACTTGCTTCCCAACTCACATAAACCAATGGGAAACAGAACTAAATACCACACCAGCCCAGTACGATTCTGGCTTCCTCCCAGAGCTTCTGGCTATACACAACTCATGAAAAGAGCAGGCTGGAATGTGCAGGCCTAATGACCACATTACTACTCTCCATCCCTGGCCTACACCTTCTCTTTGGACTTGGAGGTATCAACATGGGCCTAGTGGACCCCTCAATATGGGTTATGGGTGATGGATTCCCCAGCAGCCCTCAATTCAGATTGCACGGCCCACCTCAAAAAGAATCGGAGCTAAAGACCAGTTCCAGTGGGCTTGTGGAACATCTGTGACTCACACTGGGGGATGAAAGGGCTCCAAGCCTTTCTTTGCCCAAGTGGGACGAAGCTGGGCTGAAGCAAGGAGAGAAGAGCCTATGTGCACGAGCATCTCAAGAACTGTGTAAATAAGAGAAACCAAAGAGGACTCTGCGCGTGTGGAGAAGAGGAGGGGAAGGCCTTTCCCGCCTCCAGCCCTGGAAGAGGAATATGGCCCTCTCGCTTAAACAATCTAGCCCCAACTGAGAGTGGAGATGGACCATTCCCAAATCCAAGGGTGCACGGCAACCCCAGCCAAGCTAAAAACAGTAGCCAAAGCTCTCAGGTCCCCCTAATGGTGTGTTAAAAGAACAAATGAAATAGAAATAAAACTGATCAAGAGAGAAAATCCAGGATTTCCAAAACACAGGTCACAGCCCTGGCCACCTGCAGTGTCGCTCTGCCAACCACAGCCCTCGGCATCCCCTCAGTGTGAACTGCAGCCTCTGGCTGTTGGAAGCCTCCTCACCTCTTATTCAGAGCTAAACCATGAGGAATGGTATTTGTAAAATAAGTCAAACATTACTCCTGCCCCCACAATGCACCTCAGCAGTGCCCATCACAGATACATGTCCATTCATTTCCCCCTATTATAATTTTTCATGTGCTGCCACTCACTTGCCTCACTCTGTATCAGCATCACCTCTGAAGTGCTTCCACCTTCGGGGGCCACCAGACACCCTTCCTCCACCCGCTTCTCCTCCCGTGGAGTCAAGGATCGCTTGCTGCCAACAGGGGGAATTTGCACAGAGCGGAGTGGCTGGGGTTCCTCTTCGGAGGCGCCCCCTACTGTCTTCGAGGACTTGAGAGAGGGCAACTCCACAGTATAGGGCAGAGGGTTGTCCCCTGGAAGGCTGGTGGTCTCTTCTCCCTGAGAGGTCGAGGTTGGAAGGCCAGGCTGGGGAACCTGCTCAAAGAGTTTCTCCCCTTCAGGTTGGTTGTTCTGGACAAACAGTTCTTTGTCCAACTTCTCCTTGCCAGCCACAGCCTGGGGGGGCTCTTCTAAGGTTGGCTCGGGCTCCTGGCAGAAGGGCTGAGTAGCTTCCAGCATGACATCTTCTGGGCCAGAATCATCATCTTTCAAAGGAGAGCTGGATACTAGGAGGGCAACAAGGAGAGAAATGAGTCCAGCTGTCTTCATTTGGTCCTAAGACTAAGCACGCATTCCCTGACTAATGCCCTTCCAGATGTTTTGGGCTACAGTTGCCTTGATCTCCAGCTGGCCTGGTCAGTAGCAATCCTGGTTGAAATGATGGGGACTGGAATCCATATATTTAGAGGGGCACCAGGTGAAGGAAGACTTGAAGCTCAGTCAACAATTTCTATATTCATCATACCAAGCTGCAATCATCCCCCCCCCCATTAGAAATAGCACAGCTACAATTTAAAGTGCCCTGTGCCCTCACCCCCCTCTCCTTGGCAACTCTCCTGTCCAGTCACTCTCCAGCTCAGGTGACAAGAGGCAAATCAAGTCTGAGGTTCAGGAAACTGGTCTCTAAAGGAAATTCTTGATGCAGATGTAAGCAACTGCTGGCCCTCTAGCCGTTGCTGAACTACAACTCCCAGCTTACCTCACCATGGGCCAGACTTTCAAGGGAGGTTGGGAATTGAAGTTCAAGAACAGCTGGAATGCTGCAGGGGAAACATTCTTGCATGATATTGCCCTCAAAGTTGTTTGTCACTGCATTGTTTCCAGCTGGTCATTATAAGAACTGTTATTTAACTTATGAAGAATTGGTGAATTGCTTCTATTTTTGTTTTACCCTTGCCAACCCTGTTGTGTCACATCTTTTTTGAATATAAGCAGAGACACAGACCAATCTATGTGAACTGCACAGAGAAGCTTTTTGACTAAGGAACAAGGCTTTAAATGCTTTAAATAAAGTAAACACCAGACTCTACCTAAAAGAATTCACACCTGCTGATACAAAGTGCTCTTAATTATATTTCTGAAAATCCAGGAAGTCTGTCAACCCATAAATAGTGATCTTCCCTCCTGTATACCTTTCTTCTTAACCCCAGGCTGCTTCCTTAGAAAATTTAGGAAGCTTTCACTAAACAAAGATATTTTTAAAGAAAGTATGAGAATTAGAAACAGAAGTTGAGGTGTGACTTCACTACTGCCATACCCCTTAAAGACAAACACTTCCTCCCCCACTCTGAGGCATTCCCGTTCTCAAAAGATCTGCCAGATATAGCTCCTTTAGGATACTGTGATCTTGAGAAAATGTGATCAGATCCTAAAAAGTTATTCAAGAGTTTTCAGGTAGAGTCAATGAAAAGGAGATATACAAATGAGAGATTTGGGGCAACCACAAACAGATTAAACTGATCCCCGTTCATCCCAGAAAGTAGATCATGGACCAAATTCAATCCAAGTAGTGCAGTCTAAAAGAATGTAGATTCCCCCTTTTGTCCCCATCATCTGTGTTAGCCCTAGACAACAAATTCCACCTTGGAAAGGGCTCATCTTCTTGGAAAAGAAACTTACAATTCCCAAGTTGAAGTTTGGTGGGTAAAAAGGGTGATTTGAAGTCAAATGCCTGAGTGGGCTCCTCTTCCACAGTGCACTTGGAATCTGACACAAAGAGTGGAAGAAGGAGATCCATATTATAATGATATAGTCTAAGTCATGGGAAGGGGGCTGAAAGAAAGAAGCGTTCTGCAGGATCAGGAGGGTCCATCTAATCCAGAATTCTGTGTCATGCATTGACCAACCAAGTGTATTCCAGAAGTTCTAAAGCAAAGAGGAGGGGAACAGCCCGTGTCCACTGCTACTTCCCTTTAAAGGAAGCTAAATAAAGGTTGTAGGAGTCACTGAACCTTTTCTAACTGAACTTCCAATTCTAACTGTGATCCATCAGCTGCCATTCAAAATCCTCCCCACTCATTCCAGAAATATCAATGATTGTTTGCAGACTTCCATTTAAGAACATGAATAGAGCCCTGATGGATGAAACCAGTGTCCCAGATAGCCTGGCATCCAGTTTTCCTCCATATCCAACCCAATGCTTCTAGGGAATCCTTAGCTAGGGGCCCAATAACCCTCCCCCACTGCTGATCCATGCCCATTAGTAATTCAGAGGCAGTCCTGGAGCCATCATAATAAGTTAGCCATTGATTATTTCTCTCATCTTCAACCCATTTCTAGATGTTTAAACCTCTCTCCCTATCAACTTTCTCCTGTTCAATCTTCTATCTGTCACTGCTGGCATGTCCATGAAAACAATGGATCATCAGCATGATTACTGTCCACCCTGCTCCTCTGGGACCCAAGAGTTCCTGCTGATACTGAGGCTTTGCTTTGGGATCACAAATCCTACAAAAACAAAGCATAATCTGATTAGGGCCTTAAACTGAAGCTCCTGATCTGACGGGTCCTAATCTGTTCTTCTCCCCTGAACCCAGGAATCAGACTTCCTGGCTTTATCCCACTGGATCTCATTTCTCTTCCAGATGACCCAGAAGTTCAACAATGTTTCTTACCTGTAGCTGTGATCCCTCCAGCTTTTTCAGTTCTAGGAGGAGTGGTTTCCGTTGGCAGGAAACACTGTGTTGTCTGCAAGGTCAAATCAAGCTCATCTGAAAGAAGAGAAACAGTGGAAAGAAATGTACCGTGTACATCTTGTGCTTAGTCCCGAGTAAAGATGGATAAATAGTCAAAACAGCATCTCCTACATACTAAACAGCACCAGAAAACAACAGAGAAAATACTTATAATAAAAAGAATATCTAGAACCTGTCATCCTTTGAACAAGTCTCTGCTCAACAGAGGGAATTATCTGGCCATATTTTTCTGAAGTTGTTTCATGCACAGTATACATTTACAAATATTTTTCCTTCCCTTCCTCCCCCTTTTTCTTTTTTAAGTTAACTTTAAATCATGAAAGAACTCCTTGTACAATCTGAATTCAGATTATGTGGTTTGTTACTATTTTTGTTAACATAAAAAGATTAACATGACATTTGTCCTTTTTAATGCATTATTGTACTGTTACTGCTATCCTTATATGCTTGTTTGAATATTTACTTACATATTTAAAAAGAAGAAAGGGGTTGGAGAGGGATTCGAACTACAGCACAATCAAGACTGAATATGGGATGAAAATAATAATAATAATAATAATTATTATTATTGTTATTATTATTATTATTATTATTGGGAAAGAGAGAGGAAGAATGGAATAGTGTCCTGGAAAAAAATAATGGATGATAGCCTGATCTCCTAACTGCAACCAGGGCAAATATCTGTTATTTAGTTGTTTACTGAAGAACTGAACTGGATTTGATTCACCTCCCAATTATTTCAAAAATCTGGATCTGCTTTGATACTAAATAAAATGACTACATTGTTCATAATCTCTTAATGAAAATGAACCTGGGGAAAAACCTCATATTTTATAATGTGTGTTATCTACTTTCTAAATATGCAGCCTAATCTCTGAGAGGTGAATATGCATTTTCTTCTGCAAAAGGGACCATTAAATAGCATCTTCCTGATAATAATCTAAATCCTTACAACTGAGTCTTCCTGAGATGTGATTTCAATCAAATCAGATCAGACAGCTGCACTCCACACTGCAATATTTTGTTGCAGCTCCTCTCTTGACTCTTGAATCCCCGTGCTCTCTGCTCCTGTGCATGCATGCTGCAGAAGCATCTAAAGGCCACCTGGGTACTGCAACTGGACCTTGTACTCTTGTCAATAGCTCTATGGATCATGCAGTGCAAGAGAAACATCTCAGATACTTTCATGCACCCAACTCAACTGTACCATTACAGTAATGGCACTTACCCTTCTTGCCTAATGAAATCACAGCATTGGGATGAAAAAAAAAAGTCAGCTGGTGGAGAAAGAGAGGGTATGGGAGAGAGATTACTTGACATTTGCCTCTCTTTTCTCCTCTCTGCCCCTTTCTCCTTACCATCAGTGTTGCTCTCATCTGCTGAATAGGATTCCTCTCTCTCTACATCTGTGTCTTCATTGTCTTCACAAGATTTGAGGGATACTCCAATTTCCACTGCAGAAGAACCCAGCTGCTCTCCTCCTACCTGAGATCTCATTGGGATTATTAACTGAGGGCCTTGCTCTTCTAGGGGCTTTCTTAGTAAAGATGCAGCAACTTCCTCTGTGTCTGTATCACTGCCTTGAGCCATGGATTTCTCATGACACAAGGATGTCACTTCCACATCAGTATTGCTGTCCTTGTCTTGTACAGTTGTAGAGTTTTCCTGCGGTCCAATATCTGGATTCCCAAAGTGGCTCACCCTACTTCCTTTGCTGGGCTCAGCACTGGAGACTTGCTGGTTCTTCTTTGACTCCACACCTGGATTACCAGCCTCCTCTTCCCCATCTGTATCACTATCCAGAGAGAGCGTGGGCAGGTACTGATGCTCAGGCTTTGGCAAGGGCTCCTTCCTACTTAAATCCCTAGGAGATTTGTCGCCAACTTCATAACTCATCTCAGGTTCAACATTAGAATTCTTTGTCGACCCTATCACATCACCGTGTCTCTCACCAACCTTATGATCATCTGGCACAATCCTCTTGAGGGAGATCTCTTCCATATTTGTGCTGCTATCCTTTCCATTTGAAGAGCAGGTCCTCTGAGGACAAGCAACTTCTGAATTCTCCAGCCCCGGTTTAATCACTTCCTCATCAGTATCATCACCATCACTGTCTCCACCAACTACATGGTTTTTTACAGTCCTACCTGGAGTCTCTCCCTTGAGGGATGAGTCTTCCACATCTGTGTCAACATCTTCATGTGCAGTGGGAGACAGGGCATTCACACCACCCTCTGGATTATCCAAAGCCTCCTCCACATCTGTATCATCATCCTTTTTCTCACCAAGCTGGACACTCTGGGGATAAGAAATGTCTACATTGTCTTGCAACTGTTTGCAGTCATCCTTCTTTGGAGAAACAGGTTCATGGCTTCCTGGACAAACAACACTTGGATTTTCCATTTCTGCTTCCACATCAGTGTCATCATCTCCAAGATCAGCAGCAGTACAGGGGAGCTTTAATCCCAAGACAGCTGGACTTTCTACGGCCTCCTCCACATCTGTATCACTGCCCACCTCAACTGCCATTTGGGGATCTTTTTGACAACTAGTGCCTGGAGCCATCACTGAAGACTCACTCAGATCAGTGTCAGTGTCCACTTCTAGGCCCCTATCACTTTTTGCTGGGTGCAATGATCTTGGCGCTTCAGAGGTGCAACCCATTTGGTTTTCATCCTCTACATCTGTATCACTGTCCAAATGGAAGCCTTCTGCCAGGTCATGGTCTGTGGAAACTCCCTCTTCTTCAGCTGTGGGGTCTCCAGAGTCTTCTCTGTTGGAGGAATGACCACCACCATTGTCTACCAGGCCAGGTTCAGTATCCTGGCTCTCAAAGGAAAGGCGCACAGCAGGGCAGGATGGGCCACTGATGGGAGGGTCTCCACTTTCTTCATCACTTGGGAAACAAACAAAAAGCAGAACAGTTCAAGCTCACAGTAATTCATTGGTGTTTTCTGCACTGCCACCTAGGACTGTTCTCCCAGTCAGAGAAATGAATTTAGCTTTCTTTCCAACCTGGTATCCATCTGATGGGCTAGACTACAATGCCTGGTATTCCATATTTTAAACAATTAAATATCAAAAACAGTTTTGATTTAAAAAAGGGTATTTCATTTGCTTTTAATGGGGACTTACATATCAAGATTTCCACATTCTAAAAGAAAGATGTTCTCCTGCTGAAGAATGAAAGACGGATACCTTTTCTAAAACAGTACCTGTCACCTGCATGGACTATAAATGCTTGATATATTTGATGTGAAATACTTCTGCTTTTATATAATACTCAAAGCATCTATTGTTTTATATTAATCAGACTTCTTCAAAAGCAACTAACATCATCCCTCCAGAGATTAGGTTGACTCCAACCCTGCTGGTCTTTTGCAGGCTATGCTGAGGGCTTTTTTATGATTTCCCAGCTGCTGTATGTTTTATTTCTTCTTTTATTTGATACTTGCCTATATTTTTGCTTTAGCGCTGTGAGCCGCCCAGAATCATGTACCGAGATGGGCGGCTGTGTAAATCGATTTAATAAATAAAAACATAAACAAATCCTTAGCCTGATGCATAGTAGGTGGAAGAGGAACGATCAAAATGCTGGGCAAGAGCATGTGTTTTCATGCTCAGTTTCTTGGAGCAATTTCCGAAATCTCAGGTTAAAGGGATCCAGAAGGAGGCAATGGAAGAGATTTTTGCCAAAAATAAAAAAGTGCCGTCATTGGGCAAGAAAACACCAGTTTGGATGGACAAGGAAGAACCGAAGAAGAGGCCTGCTGTCAAGGATGTTCACAAGCCTGGAGGGCAACGTTCCCTTCTGCCATTGCTACCTAGCAACCGTATTAAAGACGGGCTCCTGATGGTTTAGGAGGCTGTAAGCAGCCATCCATAAGCCACTGATAACTTAATCCTCCCTGAATCTTCCCAATCCTCTTTAAAAGCATCCAAATTGGCTGCCCTCATCACAACTCCTGGCAGCAAATTCTACAGCTAACTCAGCATCGTGGGTCCCAAATCTTGCTGCATTCAGTTACCTATTGAATGTCATTTAGTTATCCGTGCTTTTATGGACCCACGTCATGGCTCACCTCCCCTTCCTCTGTTGCAAACTAAAGAGCTCCAATGGTTTGCTTTTCTTCATAGAGCTGTTCTAACCCCCTAAATCAATGTTTCTCAACCTTGGCCACTTTAAGATGTGTGGACTTCAACTCCCAGAATTCCCCAGCCAGGCTGGCTGGGGAATTCTGGGAGTCGAAGTCCACACATCTTAAAGTGGTCAAGGTTGAGAAACACTGCCCTAAATAGTCTGATCTGCTAGATAAGCCAACCTGCAATGTTCATACCCATCTCACCACTCCTTCAAAGGGAAGACTCATAGCTCAATAACAGCCCACCAGGCTGGCGGGCAGAGGAGTCCCCATTCATTACTCTGGATGAAGTGGAAAAGATCTTTTTCCTATGCTGATGCCCTCCAAGTTCCTGGGACTGCAATTCCCACAGCACCAAGTTTATGATTCTATGGACTGACAGGGGTGGAGGGACCTCAGAGGTCATTTATTCCAGCCCCCTGCTTGGAGCAGGAATCTGCTCAAGTGTTTCAAAGAGATGGGTATCCAGCCTTCGTTTGAAAATTTCCAGAAAAGGGGAACATCCCACGTCTTGAGGCAATCTAATCTGATGCTTGACAGCTCTCACCATCAGAAAATTCCTCCTAATATCTAACCTGAATCTACTTCCTTCAGTTTCAACCCACTGGTGAACAACAGAGAACAAACTCACTCCTTCCACTATATGCCAACCCTTTTGATATCTTAAGGCTGCTACCATTTTTCTCCCGGAACCAATGCTGATTTCCGTGTTCCTATTACTATATATACCAAGTTAAATGGAGAAAAGGTGATTCTGTTCTTAAATGGTAAACCACACTGAGATTTCTTTTACTGACAAATGATATAGACATGTAGCATGCAGAGAGTCACCACAGGCAATATCAAGTCTTCAGCAGTCCTGATGTTCTTTAAAACCTCTTGCTGTCAGACACGGACAGTTCGAGCGTCCAATTCCAAACTCGCTGCTCTTCACGGTTTTTGTCCTCGCACATACAGACAAGGCGTGGGCACCTACCGTTCTAAGCCATGATGTAGTTTGTTTAGTTTGGCTTTGCACGCCTTGTGAACTCAGTAACGTGGGTTTACAAAAGGCCTTAGTGTATTGACTTAGGTGATTTCAGTCATGTCAATAAACCACAATTAGGCAAATCAGTATTCACTATGACACAGATCGCACACGGCCAAGCAAACTCGTTCAGCTCACTCACACTGCTGACTTAGGCATGTTAGCGGGATCTTGAGGTACATGTCAAGAAATGTCAAACAACTATTTCACAAGGATATATGCACTGGGTTATCTGCCTGAGTTGACTGTGTTTTACTTTGGTTCATGGAGCCTATCCACCATCTTGAAAGGTAACACACAGGGAGTCACACACAGCCACTGACTCATCCCTAGATGTCTTAATCAAAAACATACTACGCATGAACTTGAAGGCACAATTCCACTATGTGTTAACCATGGACAGGTTCCTCCCTCCACAGATTAACCTAATTCTTCCCACAATAGACTCAGGCCTTGTTCACAACGTGCTAAGTTATAATATGCTTTGTTCGGTTTAAATACAGCCCGTTCTCTAAATCAAACCACTTTGGTTGGCAAACCTGGTAGGAGTGTGTTGTGTGAACCCAGCCAATTGCTATTTAGTCACTAAAGAAGGGTTACACAAACCATGCCTTAACATAATGTGTGAATCCTGCCATACGCTCCTTTTTTAAAATGCAAAAATATTCCAGGTTTTAACCCCAAGTAAGCTGCTAGATGACAACTTACCTTTCAGGCACCACCGTAGCTGAGGGAGAGGAGACTCCAAAAGAAGCCACGCTCACGTGTCCTCCTGTGCCATTTTTGTTAGAGCAATCAGACCCTGTTGGTGGGGAAGAAAGATGGAAGTAAGGATAATCACTACTGAGCCATTTTCTATCCTTCTCACTTTAAAAAAAAGTGTCCTGTGTTCAAAGCAGCCGTGGTGGGGAAAAAATGCCAGAAAATGTTCCATAGGAAAATCTTCATCCCACATCACTTATGTTTCTATACACATTTGTTAACATTTTCTGGAAAAGGCACATTAATTGGTTTAAACAACATCCTCTCTGGCTAAGAGATTGACTGTGACTCTGGGCAGCTGACAAAGATTTTAAAAACTACAGTATAAACACAACATAAAAAATACATTTCACAACAAACGAAAACACAAGGTGGCTACCCAATACACCAACGACGTGGGCTCAATTATTCTCCCAACCCCTACACCCAGGAAAACAACCAAGACTTCAAGGCTTCCCAAAAGGTGAGTAGAACCAGGGCCAACCTAACATCAGGTGCTATGGTGTTCCAGAGGGCAGGTGCAGCTACAGAAAAGATACGCTTCTTGGGTCCTGCTAGATTGATGGGACCCAGAGCTCGTTCCTCCTTCCCAACCTAATGGGACAGGTAGAAACTATGAGAGTAAGGTGGTTCCTCAAGCACCCTGGTCCCATGCCACATAGGGCTTCAAAGGTAAAAAACAGCACCTTGAATTGTACCCATAAGCAACATGGAAGCCAGTGCAGCTTGTGGAGCAAAGCTCTAACATGGGCATATTGAGGCATCACCATCACTGCCCATGCTGCTGCATTCTGGACCAGCCAAAGCCTCCAGATATTCTTTGAGGCAGCCACATGTAGTGTGCATTGCAGTAATCCACTCAGGAGGTGAGCCAAGGATAAGTGACTGTGCATTGTGCCCGCAATCCAGGAAAGGGCACAACTGGTGCACAACGCAAAGCTGTGCAAAGGCCGCCCCCGGCCACACTGCCACCTACTCCAGGAGGACCCCCAAATTACACATCAGTTCTGTCTGGGGTAGTTCAACCCCATCCAGAACTAAGGATGAAAGATATCAGATCCAGGAAGGAGGTCTTAACACCTAAAGCCACTCCATCTTGCTGGGTTGAACTGAAGCCTGTTCTTCAGAGATCTTGGACAGGAGGCCTCATGCAACCATCTGAAGAGCTGCTGAAACCAGCCTTAGTCTATGGCAGCTGACAATATACCTGAGGCCT